AAGCCTTCACCATAATTTTCTCTTTGAGACAAAGTCTCTCATTGAACCTGTAACTCACAGATTCCCCTAAAGTGGCTGACCACCAAGCCCCAGAGATCCTCTGAGTGGGCTTCTCAGTTCTAGCATAGCAGGTGTCCATCACTACACTTAGATTTTCTCATAGGTGCTGGGCATTGAACCCTGATCTTCACGCTTGTCTAGCGAGTACTTTCCTGACTGAGCCCATCTCCCTAGCCTGTGTTTCTTCAACTTCAATGACAAAGTAAACACGAAGACCTGGCCATACATGTTGATCTCTCATTCTGATCCATTATAGATTCTGAGAGTCTTCCTTTGCTTATGAAGAAGATGAGTTTTAGAGATGGAGTGATATTTACCTAGGCCACACGGGTGGTCAGTATGTGACGCTGGAGTCCCCAAGTTCAATGCTCGCCTTACCCTTCTCTTTCAGACTATCAACTTCATTCAGCAGGCTCCGCCTTCTCTCCCATTGCTCCTCTCTTGGAGACTACCTGTCTTCAAATGCTTTGCTATTTTCTCTTAGACTCCTGTCTTGGTATAACCTTTCCCTTGCTTTCCGTAGGGCTTATTCGGTTTAATAGAGCTCAAAATGCAACTCTGTGGTACTCGACAGAGTGCTCACCTTGGTAAAGGCTTGTTCATTTTGCAGGTGGTCACACCTGATAATTCTGAACATGATTCTTCCTGCTCTTGCTTACCTCCCATTCCCAGTGATAGTTTGCCCTTCTTTCCCATGACCTCGTACCTGAGGCAGCACTGCTTTACAAGACAGTGTGGGCCTCCATAGTTTCTTTTAAATAAGGTTAACCGAAGCGAGTCGCATAGTAGGAAATGGCCACTCAGAGAGGAAGCAGCGATGCAAGAGAAAGAAACAAAAGGGAGACAAATAAGAAAGGAACAGCTCAAACTAGTTTCTTGTGGATGATATGAAGAGTCCAAAGTCTTTGCCCAAAAATTCTTAGATCTGACAAACACTTTCAAGAAAGTAGCAATGCTGGGCTGTGGTGGCGCACACCTTTAATTCCAGCACTCCAGGGGCAGAGGTAGGCGGATCTCTGTGAGTTCATGACCAACCTGGTCTACAGAATGAGTTCCAGCACAGCCAGGGCTGTCACACAGAGAAACCCTGTCTCAAAAAGAAAAGAAGAAGAAGAAGAAGAAGAAGAAGAAGAAGAAGAAGAAGAAGAAGAAGAAGAAGAAGAAGAAGAAGAAGAAGAAGAGAAGGAGGAGGAGGAGGAGGAGGAAGAAGAGGAAGAGGAAGAAGAAGAAGAAGAAGAAGAAGAAGAAGAAGAGGAGGAGGAGGAGGAAGAGGAAGAAGAAGAAGAAGAAAAGTAGCAGCATACAGACTCAATAGCTTTTCTATGTACTAATAATGGACATGTTAAGAAATAATTAATGGAAACAATATTTTTTCATAATAGACTCAATTTTTAAAAGAATAAATCTAAGGAGGTGAAGTCCCTTATAATCAAAACATTAGAGACAGAATTTGAAGAAAACTTTGCAAGGTGGGGATACACACGTTTATGGGGCAGCAACATTAATAGTATAAAAACGGCTCTATGATCAAAAGTGTGCCACAGATTAAACACAAGCTCCATGAAAATTTCAATGATATCCGTCATACTAGAAAACCCAGCCCGAAATATGGAAACCAAAGTTATCCTCAGCAAAAAGAACAATGCTGGAAATATCACAATACAGAGCCATAGTAACAAAATCAGCCTTAGTAACAAAAATGACGCTGGAACAAAAACAGACACACAGACACAAGAATAGAGGACCAGGGACATACATAGTTACAGCCGACTGTAACCTTCCTCCTTCCTTCCTCCCTCCCTCCCTCCCTCCCTCCCTTCCTCCCTTCCTTCCTTCTTTCCCTCCATCCTTCCCTCCTTCCTTTCTCCTTCCCTCCCTCCTTCCCTACCTCTCTCCTTCTCTCCCTCCCTCCCTTCTTCACTACCTCCCTCCCTTCTTCCCTACCTCCCTCCTTATGTACCTCCCTCTCTTCTTTCCTTCCTTCTTTTCTTCCTTCAAGCAAACAAAAAGCCACAACTAAACCATGGAGAAAAGACAGCCTCTTCAACAAATGGCACTTAAAAAACTGGATGTACATGCCTATAGAAAAAAATGAAACTATATTCCTATCTTTCATTCTGCTCAAGAATCAACTCAAAATAAACAGAAGGTCTTAATGTAAGGCCTTGGGAATTACTTCAAGGTAACAGGAAACACATCAAGGTACAAGCATAGGCAAAGTCTTTGTGAAGATTACTCAGTGTTCAAGGTACAATAGCAACAACTGACAGCTGGAATGGAGTCAAATTCAAAAGTTATGGCACTGGGTGGTGGTGGTGCACACTTTTACTCCCAGCCCTCGGGAGGCAGAGGCAGGCGGATCTCTGTGAGTTCAAGGCCAGCCTGGTCTTCAAGAGCTAGTTCCAAGACAGGCTCCAAAGCTACAGAGAAATCCTGTCTCAAAAAACAAAAAACAAAACAAAACAAACAAAAGTTATGGCATTGCAAAGGAAAAAAATTAATAACCTTCAGTGACAGCCTACAGAATGGGAGAGCATCTTTGCCCGATCTAGAAAAGATAATTAGTTCAGCCACTGTGAAAAACTCACCGGACGATCTCCCTGTTCCCCTTTTAAGCATGTACCCGAGGGAATCAAAGCCAGCACACAGTAGATACTTCACACCATTCACAAGACCCAAGCCGTAGAGTTAGCCTGGGTGCCCATCGGAGGATGAATGGGTAAAGAAAATGTGGTCTATGTACACAGAGAAGTTTAGCTTAGTCATGGAGAATGAAATTCGGTCAGTTGCACAAATATGGACAGAACTGGAAATGATCACACCAAACAAAACAGGCCAGAGAGTCAGAAGGACAAACTCATGTTTTCTATGATATCTACATTGTTTTCTAAATTCTGACTTCCTGATTTGGGATAACATCTTGAGAAGTAGCCAGTACAATTAGTGTGGTGATCCTGTGCCCCTCTTACAGTCTGTCTGCACCCGGTCATGCTATCTGTGGCTCCCTCCGTCTCTCTCTCTCTATATATATAAACTGTCTCTCATGTTCTCCTCCCAGCTGTGCAAATGGGCCTGCTGGTCAAACACAGACACCTGAAGTGTACAGATCGCGGAGTCAAGAAGAACCAGAAACACAGCGGGATACAGTGAATGTGTTTATGTAACTGCGTGAATGGAGGACCTTAACAAGCTGGGGCTCCTAGTGCTAAAAGGGACCGTATTTGCAGGCCGCTGCAAGCACCAGAGAGACACCTGTAGGTCAGCCTAGCAGAACGCTGCATTTTCATCATGTCTACGTGGGCTAATTCATCTTTCACGCGCGCGCGCACACACACACACCCTAAGGAAAGAGCTAATTTTTTGGTGCAAACCAGTGCTCTTTCATTAACTCATTTCTACCTTCACTTGCCTCCAAGTTATTTCCTTTGTGTCTAGTGTGAAAGAGGCGGCTGTTAGAATAATAACAAAACAGACCTTCATCTTTGCCTTCTGCCTTTCTCATTCTCCTTTTTTTTTTTTTTTTTTGAGGAGGGAGGAAGAGATTTTATCTTTTTCCCTTACCTCAGATAAGAGGCGGTTCTCAACCGCGGAGGCCTTCCTCAGTCCAGGCCCCCACCAAGGGTCCTGCCAATGTATTCACATGGCCAAATTCTGGAAAACTGTTAACAGTCGGATGCTTTAATTGCAATGGTTCTGTCCATTATCTCTTTCCTCTCCAACTTCCCCGTGGCCACATTCCTTCTCCCTGCCTGGTTCCCTGCTAGAGCCACAGCCCTCTCAGAGTTGAGGTGGCAGTACATGCTGGTAAGAGCACATCTGTGGGGCTCATCAACTTCATGCAAAGCTAAGTCATTATTAGCTGTTCCTCTGTAGGTGTCTCCCGAACTCCTCTGTCACTTGGCTGACTTGGAAGCGTAGTGACAAACGTGTAATGCCAGAGGTGTCTCAGAAGAAGAAGGCCTTCAAGTGACTGATATGGACTGAGTGTGAAATGGCCCTCGCAGGCTCCTATGTGTGAACATTTGGTCCCCAGCTAGTGGCATTGATTTCGGAGCTTATGAAATCATTTGGACTTGGTGGAGAGGGCTAGCTGGCATATTTAGGGCCATAAAGTGAGAACTTGAGATTCACAGGCCAGTTCTACTTCCGGCTAAGCATTCTGTGTCCTGATCAATATGATAAGCAGTAGCTACTGTTGTTCTTTCTTCGGAATATGAAATAGACCACGAGGTACAAACAAACCCACGTGTAGCTTTATTATAGGAAAGGGGCATGACGGCGGTGCAGGCTGGAAGCGGGAAGGGGGAAAAAGAGGAGGGGGTACCGCCGTTCTGCCTTTTTAAAGACCAATCCAGCGTAAGCGTGCATCTGACGCTGCGTTCTGCGTCCCTGTTGGATTGTGGGTGCTGGTGATTTCTGGGGAATGAAGTCTTTTGAGTCAAGCGGACCACGCTTCACTCTGCGCCTGCGCATAGGGGCCTCCTGGGGACTGCAGTTCCCCAGGAGAATAACAGCTACATATTGTTCCTGCCACATGCTCCTGCCACCTCAGTTGCAAGATGCTTTGGCCTCCATGCACTGCATTCCAGACTGTGGAGGGCTATATCCCATGGACCATAAGCTGGATGAACTGTTCTTCCTTTATTTTTTCTGAGCAAAACTGAAAGGAATTAGGTAGAGCTGGAGGAACATTCTGGAAGCAAGACTGAATTAAGTTTCTAATTTTCTATAGAAAGTGATAAGCAAAAATCATTGTATTATAAAGAGGCCCTCAAATGACATACAAGAAAAAGAATATGGTGAGAAATCGGGATAGTAACCAATACAAATAATGCTAATTGCCTGGGTTCTGTGATATTGATTGTTATTTAAGATTATATTTGTTGCGGGGGGGTGGGGTGGGGGAGAGGGCGGGCGGGTGGTGCGGTCCGGCGCCTTCCGCGTCAGGAGGGGCTGGTTCGGGCGAGTTATTATCAGGAGCTCCAGGACCGGTTTTCTCAAGATATGTCAGTTGTCAATAAGATGCAACAGAAGTATTGGGAAACAAAGCAGGCCTTTATCAAGGCGACAGGGAAGAAAGACGACAAGTATATTGTTGCTGCTGACGCAGACCTGGATGCCAAGCTGGAGGTTTTCCATTCAATTCAGAGAACCTGTTTGGCCTTATCCAAAGCAATTGTACTCTACCAAAAGAGAATGCATTTCTTGCCTCAGGAAGAGAACGACCTGGGAAAATTTCTCCGATCCCAAGGCGTCCAACAAAAAAACCAGGGCAGGAGGAATGATGCAAGCCATGGGCAAGGCCCTCTGCTTCTCCTACCAACAACGGTTTGTTCTTTGGAGCATTTTGTGTCGATTATACGAGGAATTAGAGACATTTAGACATCGGGCCATCTCTGATACCTGGCTGACCGTGAACCGCATGGAGCAGTGCCGGATTAAATATAGAGGGGCCTTATTGTGGATGAAGGATGTGTCTCAGGAACTTGACCCAGACCTCTACAAACAAATGGAGAAGTTCAGGAAGGTGCAAACCCAAGTATGCCTTGCAAAAAAAACTTTGACAAATTGAAGATGGATGTGTGTCAGAAGGTGGATCTTCTTGAGGAGAGCAAATGCAATCTCTTATCACATATGCTAGCAACGTGGACGACTCTGCTCCACTTTTGGGAGAAAACTTCTCACACCATGGCAGCCATTCATGAAAGCTTCAAAGGCTATCAACCATATAAATTCATGACATTCAAGAGCTTACAAGATCCTATGAAAAAGCTAGTTGAGAAAGGAGGGAAGAAGAGCACCCCACGGAGGGAAAGCCTGGAGGCTGCCGCACAAGAGCCTAAGCAATTAATTTCTTCGGAAGATGAGAGCCAGCACGAAGAATCCTCTCCTTGTAAGGCTTGCCTGGGTCCCATGGCAGGGACCCCAGAAGATGACGGGTTGAATGAGATCTTCAGTGCTTCCAGCCTGAATGAAGGAGAGTTCAGCAGAGAGTGGGCTGCCGTGTTTGCAGATGACCGGTTGAAGGAGCCAGCCCCCATGGGAGCCCAGGGAGAGGCAGATCCCAAGCCCCAGATCAATTCTGGATTCCTTCTTTCGCAGCTTTTAGACCAAAACATGAAAGATCTACAAGCCTCTCTCCAAGAGCCCGCCAAGGCTTCCTCGGACATGACTGCCTGGTTCAAATTGTTTATAATCTCCAATACTGTATCAAATCCTGATGCTGTTGGGAAAACCGATAAAGAACATGAATTGCTCAATGGATGATTATGCAGCTCTGCAGCACCTACTCCAGGGCTTGCAGAAGTCTCAGTATGCTGTTTTAATATTTACGTGCCATTTTAATAAAATGAGAGGGTCAAGGCCCTGTTTCTAAAAAAAAAAAAAAAAAAGATTATATTTGTTACCATCTCTTCTGGTAAGAAGATATTCTGTCTGTGGAAGCAAATTGTTGCTAATATACCTTATAAAAAGCAGATAACTATACAGCCCAGACACTTGGAAAACTGTTCATAGAAAATAAGTCACAATGCATATCAAGTGGTCACTTATTAAGAATAATTCACTCCCTTTAGGGATTCAGCACAAGGCTGAGATGCTCTTTATCCAAGGAGCATTTCCAACGACATTTAGTTTCTGTCCTTACCATGAATATCTATTTTTTTAAACTTTTCTTCTCTGAGCGAAATTTTTGGGTTACATTATACACAGAGTTTTAGCTTAACTTGTGTATGGTTGCCTAGACGCAGGGATGCCAACTTGTGTAGTGGATGTGATGAGGGGCTCTACCGACTTGGCGTTTGCTCATCGGTTAAAGATGCGTTGTGCCAGACAGTGTAGGATGGGGGAACAGTGATGGGGACAAAGACGTAAAGATGTGAAGAACACGCTACAGCCATTGCCGGGTTGGGGTCTAACTAGATCGCAGAATGCTTGCCAGGCATCCACAAGGCTAGGTTCCGCACCCAGCTCTGAAGAAGAAACACACTGCCATTGTTTTCCAGAAGCACACAGTCCACTGTGATTCATGATCCAGGAGGAAAAAGCGCTCGGATGCTGCATCATGAAAAGAAAAAGGTCAAAGTTAACCACGGGTCAGGAAGATTAATTGCATGTACTAAGAACTGAATTAAGCTCTGAAGGATAAAAAGAGAAATCACACTGCAAAAAGGAAGCGTTTGGGGGCAAACTGGACACTGTTGAGGCATGGTTGAGCATCTTGTGTTAGTGTGAAAGGAGTTGGGTAGAAAGTACACAACAGAGAATCGGAAGGAAGGACAGTATCAAGTGGGCTCCAGGCACAAAAGACTTTGTGGGACGGGTGTAAGCAGAGCATGACACAACACACTTTGTTTGAACACAGGGAAACTTAATTTGCACATACGCTTTTAACTTAACGAATCTGTGGCAAAACTTGAGATCCTTGGACTCTAGACTTAAGAGTCGCTGAGACTCGGGTCTGCTTAGGTGGGTTCACAGTTATGTCGGTAATGATCTGAAGTATAATTGACACTCGCAAGTGGTGATGTCAATGACAGGCAGCCGGGTCAGAATTCCTGAATCCGGAAACAGTAACATTTACTACGTGGCTCCTTTAGATGCGCATGCGCACTGAGCATGTCCATGGCTAACTAACCTGCCTGGATACTTACAGGTCTAAAAATCGGTGTTACATAGTTCCTATGCTACTATCTAAAGATTCCTTAGGTCCCCTCATTCATAGCATTAACTCCAAATGGTGCAATAAATTGCAGTTCATAAATTCTACCCACAGAATCATGCAGCGATATTTTCTACTGAATATATATATACTCAACAAAACTTTCCCCCAAATTTTACATTAAAGTCAGTTATCATAATATTAGACTTAATTTTAAACTAGTTTCCCTTAAGCAAGAAATTAGTCATTTTAGAATTTAAAAATAAGTTTCTATTATGATCTATCACATAGGTTAAAAATACCATGGTGACATTAGTCAGTACTGAAATAATTTTCTAGGCTAAGTTCTGGTTTCTTATCACATTAAAATTAAATCCTAGCTTTTTAGTCTGAAGCACGTGTACCTTTGCAGGTGGTTGGGAAAGAATTTCTCTATTTATAGCGACGCCAGTCTTCAAAAGGTGGTAATACAAGGATGTGCCATACCCAGCAATAGCATACTAGGAATGCAGATAACGCAATGATTTACATATTTTTCTTTTAGTCAAGCTCTTGCCTTCAGAAAGTCTCACCTGCTCCCCTTCTTTGCCTTGACTATGAGTCATGCTGATTTCTGGGGCAGGTTCTAATTTTTATAATGCAGAATAAACTCAAGCCAGAAGGCAGGTGGCCACCTCTTCTCAAGAAAAGTTTTGAAGTGGAGGAAAGCAGCACCGTTCAGCGTGGTCCTTGGAAACAGGAAATTTCCATGGATACCGTTTCTATTGTTTTCCTCTTCCTTCCCGGAAGCGACGCCGTCAGTGACGCCATCGGTGACGTCATCTCCCCCGGAGAGCCGCTGCAATGACAGCGCAGCTGTTTGCAGAGATGGGCAGGCTCCACTCTCGGATCGCGACGCCAGCAGACCCTCACCTGCTGTGATGTTCAGCGGCAGTTTCCAACCACGTGAAACTCCTACCTCCTGGATTTGACTCTGCATACTTAACCGCGCTGGGGTTCTGATGCCAAGCGTGCAAAACGCGGGGCTCCCACACCGAGCAATTAATTATCCAACCTTAGGTCTCCAAGTTCAGGTCTGATACCAATACTGGGTAGGCAAGGAGTTAGATACGTGGTACTGGGGGGGTAACAGCTACTGTGTCCCCTGACAGCCACAAAGACCGTTTGTGGTTAAACATACTTGAAGCTGCATTTAGAATGTTTTCTCTACATTGGAAGCTAAGGCACCAGGGTATTCTCCCACCACGTGCACTAATGAAGGTTCTGTACCCGCAGAAGACCTGGTGGCACTGTACCATGCGCACTGTCGTTCAGTAGCCCTTCTATTTTTATGGAGATTGTGGAAAGAAATACCTAAAAGGGAGGCATGGTTCACCATGGTTTGGGATAGGAGATACTCTATCTCATGAATATTCTACCTACCTCATAAATAATTCACATATTTTTCTTTACAATTTAAGACTTGGGGCTGGGGAGATGGCTTCCCAGTTAAGAGCTTTTGGTGTTCTTCCTGAGGGCTAAGTTTGGCTCCCAGAAATAAGAGGGTTCACAACTGCCTATAACTCTAGCTTCAGAGGGTCCAATGCTTCCCTTTAGGCCTTCTTGGGCACACACACACACACCCTAAAAATAAATCTTGAAGAAAAATAAAATAAATGTCCTAACACAGAACCTCTAGGGCTGCTCTTTGCCTTGAGGCCACCCACTCCAAACTCTCTTTGGAGTATTTGGCCGGCTTAGGTTTGCTAAATAAGCTTCTATTCCAACTGTCTGTGTCTCTTGACTGAATTCTTTCCTTCAAGAAGACAAGAAGTGAGGGAACTTCAATAATGAGGTTATACCTTCCTCAGCATAGCCCAGACCCCTCAGATTAAAGGGTTGGTCTAACTAAGTTGCCCCCACTTCAGATGTCAAATCCAAGCTATACCAGCTGTGCTTTGGGCACCCCAGTGATAACTTGAAAGTTCTGTGGCATTCCCTCCCATGTTTACAATTTATGAGGGTGGCTCACAGGAGTCATATAACCAAGGTTACTTATGTCGAGTTTATTATTAAAAGTATAAAACTCAGGAATAGCCAGAAGCAAGGTTTGGGGCTAGAGCTTGGAGCTTCCATGGGCCTCTCCAAGTGTAAATGTCAGGGCAAAGGCAAAGATATTCAAAGAGAGAGACACCATGCCTCTCTCCTTTTGGCTATCAGACTATGAAAACGATGAATTTCAAGAAATTGGAATGTCCTAAGTGCTAGAAGGAAAAGGTTGGTGCCTTGGAACCAGCCACGGGGGGATCTTGTCTCACAGGAACAGATGTCACTGGGCCAGTGAGATGGCTCAGGAGGTGGGCAAAGGTCCTGGCCCAAAAAGCCTATAACCCTAGAACATATGTAAAGATGGGAGGAGAGAGAGAACGCCTTAAAGTTGTCCTCTGACCACCACACACGTGCTCTGGTAGGGTGTGCCCACACAGACATATCATACATCTACATGATGATGATACTTAAAAAAATAAGAAAACATGTTTTTAAAAGGAATAGATTACACGCAGCTCTGACTGCTTCTCAGAAAACCTTGCAGGACAGACTGGAGCCATGACAACTATGGGACCACGCTGACCAAAACTCTCTAGTTCTGGATATTTCTTGCCTTCTCTTTAAACCTAAACCTTGTGTCAGGGCCTGGAAGGAGGACTTGGGGGGTGGGGTGACAAGAACCCTTTGTTGTTCCTCTTCCCCTTCTCTGCTTCTCAATATTACTGGTCTCTTTTACTGGGATCTGGAGGGGGTGTGTGTGTGCCTGAGCCTAGCTTGTTAGGTCTGCCAAAGCCCAGGCCGTGGTCTTGACAACTCCAGTCACACAGATATGTTTTCCCCAGAAGCTTTCCGTGCGTTCAGCATACCGCAGGCCCTCTACATATGTGGAGGTCATGGAGGTCAGATGACAACGTTAGAGAACTGGTTCTCTTTCATCCGCGTGGGTTCCAGGGACTGTATACAGATTTAAGTGCCACTTAAATTACTTTTGTGAAGGCAATATAAAATACATAACTCGGTGTCTATAAAAGATAAGGAAGCTATAAGCGCATTTTTAAAATTACTTCCTGAATTAGTTTCATTTCCTCTTGCTATAAGAAAATACCATAATAAAAGCAACATAGGGGAAAGGGATTTATTTTTGCTTATGATTCCAGGTTACGGTCCATCACAGAAGGGAAGTCAAGGTGGGCAGGACTTGAGCCAGCTGCTCCTGCCACAGTCAAGAGCAGAGTAAATGAAGGCATGCACACTAATACTCAGTGTCCTCTCTCCTCTCTAATCCAACCCAGGATGCCGTGCCGAGGAGATGCTGATACCCACAGTGGATGGGGTCTTCCTGCTTCAATGAAAGTAACTGAGGTACGTCCCTCACAGGCATGCCCACAGGCCATCCTAACCTATTCAGTCCCTCACTGAGACTCTCTCTAGATGATTCTAGATTGTGTCAAGTTTTCAGTTCTCACTAACCGGCACACTTTCAGTACTGAGTAACTATAAATGAAAGGATGCAATGGCGATTCATACCCACAAAGGATTTTTGTACACACAGTTCAACTCTAGAAAATCTAATGACGTTTATTGTCTATTATAGTCTTAGTTTCTATTGTACTGCTGTAAAGAGACATCATGACCAAGGGCAACTTATTAAAAACAAAACA